TGCCATAATTAAATAATCCAATCCAATCCTTAATTAAATATAATTGATTTGTAACTTCTGCTAGAACTGACGTTAAGAATTGAAGTGCAAATAAATAATATCGTGTGCAATCTTGATTAAATAAAATAAATATTTAAAAATATTTGCATTCAGAAAGAAAGTTTTTTGAAATATTTGCAATTACTTTATAAGAAGGATTTATTAATAACCGTAATAATTACTTATTATATTACTGATGATTAGGAATCAGTTCTTGACAATTACATTCTAAATTAGAATTTTAAGAATTATTAGAATTTTAAATTAGAATAATGAAAATACGCTACACACAAAAATACATTTTAGGATAAAAAATTAGTTGATTTTTTATGTTTTAAAACTTCTTGAATTCATTTAATAAACATTGTATCCTTGTTGTTAATTGAATTCAGAAAGTTGGGTGTCGTTTATATAATTATTCTTACTTGTCCACGGAATCTGCTGACTTATCCAGCGATTAAGTAGCTGCAGATAATTTCTACATAACCATTGAACTTCCATTAATTCAGTCTCTAGAGGGTTGTATATTTATATCATAATTTGACTTTTATAAAAATGATTATTCTAAATCTTATGTTTCTATAAAAATATACTGTGCTTTAAAAATATAGATGATAGTATCAGCCGCTCTTTCAGCCACTTCAAAAGCATCAGTTTGTTTAGAAATAAATTGTGCAGTTAATGTCATAAAATTCAAATAAACATCAAACGAAAATTCTCAGTTTTAGACAATTCGATTTAAACGAAACGAAGTAAAGTAGCAGACGATAAAACGCCGAAGGTAAAAATTTACTCTTCAAAAAATTACTCTTATTTAAAAAAAAAAAAAAAAAGAAAAGAAAAGATAGGAGAGAAATTTTAAAAAAAATAGTTAAAAATTTGAATAAATCATCTAAAATTAAAAAAAATAGCTTTTCATATAGTATTAATAAATATTTATTACGCATCATTGAGGGAAAAAATGTCATATAATTAATTCTCCGTAAAATTTTACTTGAAATTTCAGGTTAAAATTAGCTGTGGCAATACAGTGTAACAAAAATCCATAGACCACATTTGGCGTTATTATCGCTCAAAAAAAAGATGCCAAATTTCAAAACGCGAAAATATGTAAATTTGTGTATATCTTAAAAAATTTTGAATAAAAAAGTCTAATTTTTTGCAGATATGCTTAAAAATATACCTACTTTAAGATGATGGTAAAAATTTTATAGGTTATATTTCAAAATTTTTTTTTGAAAAATTTATAAAAATTATTTAAAAATAGAAAATTTAAAAATAAAACACAAAAAAATGGGTAAATTTTATTTGGAATGAACCTAAATTTCGAAATGTGAGAGAAAAAATCAAAAAAGTTTAATAAAAAAAGAGATATAAATAAATATTTGCCAAATTCAATTAATATTGAGGAGCTAAAATTTTGAGAGCTAATATTTCAAAAACTACTCATACGATTTTTACAAAACTTGGTATTCTGGCATAATTTGAGTCGTAGAATCGAAATATGTAAAAAAATTGGTATGTTATTTCAGAAAAAGTCCGATTTTGTGTCAAAATACCTATGTTAGAATAGTGCTATATATAAATATAATATATATCCTAAGTCGCGCTTTCGAGACATGAAGAACGCAATTTGAATTTCGTGAATCGCCCCACTAGAACGAGAGATATAGCACTGTCCCATTTTTTTTTTTTTTAGCAGTGTACATTAGACCTTCTACTCGAAATGAGAGACGCATGACTCACATACAGGTGTTTTTGATTATATAAACAAACGGGGAACTAAATGTTTCCGAATGGCGTGATTTATGACGTCTCTTTAAATGGCACTTTATTCGCACGTGGTAGTTGTTTATTGTAAGTAGAAGTTTTATATGTGCTAAAGCATTGAGTATTTCGGTTTACAGTTCAGTTTTTAGAAAATAATTAGTTCTTGTTACACGTGAATTCTTTCTGTTTTTACCGTTGCAATGTCGAAGCGCGTCGAAAATGTTTAACAGAGCATGAAATAGCAGAAATGATGCAAAATATTTCAGATATTGATTCTGAAATTCTGATATTGATTCTGAAGGATTAACTGAAAGACATTTTCCAAAACTTTGTTCAGAAAGAGACTGATAAGAAAATGAGACGACGATGCTTCGTTTCGTTCACATTCCCGGAAAAATCCTCCAAAACGGCAAATGAGTTATTACGAGTTCAAGGAATGTAACGTAGGACTGTGTGTAGATCCCTGTTTTTCAAATTTTTCACATGAAAAGAGAATTTTAAGTAATATATTTAGTTTTCAGATGTATAATGTTAAAATAAAATGGTGAGTAATTAAAATAAAATGTGTAAAATATGCATTTAAACAAGAAATAAGGTAATTAAAGTATATATATAAAATATCTTTAAAGCATAAGCCGTTTAAATACTCTATAGAGCATTATTAAACAATGCGTTGATACTTCGGAAATTTCATGGATTTAGGCTTAGTAGCAAAAAAGCCCCCGGCCCTGGAGAGACGCTCGCGGAAGACTGCTTTCCTCCGCGATAAGCGCGCGTTTTCGCTACCCGGCTTGAAAGGGTTATGTGATCTCAAAGAAAATGTCCAGTCAGTATGAAATCACTATTAGTAAACTTAAAAATTAAATGTTTCAAACATTTACATTCAAAATTTATTCTTATTTCTAGTTAATAGCTTCACAGGACCAACTAAAATTAATAATGAGTGATATTTTACCTAATACAGTACTATGAATTACCAAACTAAGTAACTTTTACTTTTATCTCTAATTATGATAAAAATTTCTTTGTAATAAGGGTTAAAATTGATCTAAATCAGTAAAATGTTTTCCTTAAAATGCCCATAAGTTTTGCATATAAATGAATGAACATTTGCAATTTAGTTTCTTAAAACACTATAAATATTTTACCAACTGGAGAAGCAGAATAATCTATTTGAATTTTAGTTGCAAATGAAAAAATAAACACACGTAATGAGCAGATAAAGTTGCTCAGATAGGAATGTGTTAGTGACTCTGAATGCCGTACTAAAGGGCCCGGGTTGGAATCTCAGAGAAGGCATGGATGTAAATTGTCTGTCTCTTCAATAGGAAGCAACGATGGCCCACCTATTATATACCTCCATAATATAAAGTGACCACTGCTTATGGCTTTTGCAGTGGTCAATGCCTATAATGGCTAGCATATGCCATTTGGGGGGGGGGAAAGCAGATAAAAGTAATCAAGTAATTAATTCTATTCTTCACAAAATATTTTTCCAATTTTGCACACATAAAAAAGTATTAAAATTGGTTTGATATTTAAACCAAATTTCTGTTTATAGATTTTAAACATTACCTATAGATATTATATAACATGCAATAAAAGAAACAGCATCATTCTTCCCATAAAAACAACAATAAAGATATTTTAGTTTCCTTTAAACATATTTAATTTTTATTATTAATAAAAAAAGAAAAAGCTGTAAATTATACTTCTGGTTTTAATAATTTAAAAGCAGAAAATAAATAGCTCGTACATGTAAAAATATTTTCTTACTTTGTGCTAAGCAAAAGCATCATTAGTCATTTACAAACTAGTTATTTGCAGCTAATAAAAAGGTCCTCAAACTCAAGAAATTTAAAAGTTGTCAGAAGAATCTGCATAATAATCTGAAACTCTTAAATCCAATTCACAATCTTTTCCTCCTTCACTTTTTGATAGTTCACATATTACTGTATCATAATTTATCTTATCAGGCAAAGAGAAAAAATTTAATGTGTGTCCCATGGATGCACTCAGCTCATCAATGTTTACATTTATAGAGTATTAAAGTGTAGCCATTTTTTATTGAATACTATTTATTATTAGGATGTAAATTGATAAAGATACCCATGTTTGCTCTGGATATATCTTCACCTGTAAAAATTCTTGTGCGTGGAGTTGTGAAAAACGTTCAAAATCTCCCCCCCCCTTCTCTTCTGGCACATTTATACACAAAGTTTAATTTAGTATTTGAAAACATTGGAAAACAGCAGAACATTTAAATTCCATTATTCTTTGTTTGTAAACTGAGGAGGGCAATGGTTTGTAAAGCAATTTAAAATGGAACCCAATGTTCTAAGATTTATATTTTGGAAAATAAGATGGATGTTATTTTTATACATTTAAATTTATGAATTATAAGATTCCAATAATACAATCAATAGGATGTTATAAGCCTTATCATTATGATCTAATTTTATGATTTAGATTCTATGACCTGTTTTAATGCCAGTTTTAATATATCATGAGATGAATGATATATTAAATTGTTAAAGAAAATGCATGAATTGTTTTTAGTTATTGTTTAATTATTTATTGTTTCTTTAGTTATTATTTCTAGCATGAGTAGAGTCATCAGCATCTTGGCAGAACTTCATATGCTCCTTTATTTGATTTTTTATATAATTAGTGCATACTAGATTTGTATAAAATGTGACTAGACTGAATTATTGTTTAAAATAGATTTTCAAAATACTATGATTACTATGTCTTAATTAAAATTTGGAATCAAGGCAATCAATCCTAATGATATAAATTACATAGCTCTAATTTCAAAATAATGCTTCAACATATAATATTACCCGTTTTCTTTAACAATAATAGCATAATGTACAATTTAACCAATGCATAAAACTGAATTATTATTACTTGAGAATTAGCCTGCAGTTTATTTTTAGAATTAAAACCTGCTAAATTTAAAAGTCTCTTGCAATATTTTACTAAGCTATGAGATACTTACATAAATATGCATCGTCAAAAGCAACAATTAAAAATATATTTATTTCACTTTCAAAATACACATAGCCCTTATGTTTGAAACTGATTTCACTGCAGAGTCTAATTTCACTTAAAAGTTTTGCTCATTTAAGATAATTTTATATATATGGTTAGGAAAAGAAAATGGTAAAAACATAAATGATTATATTTACCTCAAAATCATCTGAAAAATCCTGTAATCTTTCCTGAGTTTCAGCAGCTTCTACTGGAAAATGAGAATCATTTAAAAGATGAAAAATCTTAGTATCCATCAGCTCTTCCAAATCTTTTCCATTATCTCCATAATCCATGTCAACAAGTTCGGAAGTCTTTTTTTAAATAAAAAGACAAAAAATTATCAAATAAATTAACATAATATATGCATACTTGTCAAAGATTAAGTTTTTCCTGAAAAAAAGTCATAAATAGAAGGAAGTAATATAATATATAGTAATACACAACATGTTTACAAAAAGTTTCATGCCACCGCAAATATTCAAATCTCATCTGTGCAAACAGTTCGCTTTGGCGTGTTTAATTATATTCTGTCAAACAATTTTTGCATTTGAATGCCTTAGAACACTGTGTTGTGAAATTTGTAAAAAGACAGCAAGTACAAGGTGTCCAAAATGGAACTATCATGCTACCAGATCAGAGCCATCTTTTTATTTCCAGTTCTGTTGCAAAAAGACAGCTACAGAATGTCACAAAATCATGTGTACGGCTTTAGATACTAATATTGTATCATATGATATTGTGAAGGTTTGGTACCAAAAGTTCAGAAACAAAGACTATGGCATTCAAGAAGCAAAGTGCTTGAGCCCATCAAAAAGCAAAGTGCTTGAGCCCATCGAAAAGCAAAGTGCCCAAAGTACTTTGGCTTACCTACTGATGTTGATGAGTCCCGCCTGCGAGAACTTGTGGGAGAAGATCAGTATGCAACCACTCGAGAGCTTGCTAAGGAGATAAATGTGGTATGCATCACATAAACTTGACGTACAAATTCAGTCAGTGGGTGCCGCATGAACTAACTCAAGCAGATAAGGACAGATGTGTTCAGGCTTGCAGTAATCTGCTCAAATATCACTGAAGCACAAAATTCTGGGCTGTATCACCACTTATGATGAAAAGTGGATTTACTTCAACAACACAGACAGAAAAGGCAGTTGGTCAGCACCTAGTGAGTCCGTTGGCAATATCGCAAAGCACAACTTGACTAATGAAAAGATCATGCTTTGTATCTATTGAGATTGCAGTGGTATTATCTACAAAGAGTATCTGGAAAAAGGTAAAATCCTCAACAATAAGGCATACAGTGAGATGCTACTCCGTATTGATGCTGCTATCACGGAAAAATGCAAACTGAGTTCTGGCAAAAAAAAAGAAAAAAAAAAAAAGTAATGTTTCCGCAAGATGACATATGTCTGCATTCACCAGCTGGACTCCATACAGACTTGAATGGGATCTTTTGGCACACCCACAATATAGCCCCATACATCATTCCTTTGGACTTCTACCTTTTTTCACAAGTGGTACATCTTGCTGGTACTGTCTTCCATCTTGCACAGTACATCCGAAATGAGGTTGATCTGTTTTTGGATTTGCGTCCACCAAGTTTCTCATCGGATGCCTTTGAAAGACCACCAAAACCTTGGCAAAAAATTATATATTTGGTGGTAAATTACTACCCATACTAAAGATGCTACTTTCATAATTTTCTAACTTTATTAAGAATGTTTTTTGGAGGAAAACTTTTATTACAACAAGACAGTATATAGTTTTTATGTAATAATAAATATTATTATATTATTAGTAATGAATTTAATACAAAAATATTCTGCTATTTAAAAATATATTTCTTTTGCTGCTTGTATACATAACATATTTACAAAATTTAAGAATGAATTCATTACAAAAAATCAATGTTCAGTGAAAGAATTTTTACTGTGCTTAGCCATCTACATGTATTCTTTCTGATACTACACAAATCTCAGATTTCACTTCAGCAAAAAGAAATTAATCCAAAGTGTCAAATATAGTAAGAAAAGCATGATTAAGAACAGTTAAAACTTTGGTTTACAAGAAGCTGATTAGCAGTAACTACACTACATGAAGAAAACTTTCTTACTTCTCACTGTTCAGTTATTAAATCCTTAGAAACAAGTATTGATACCTAAATGGAAGCCAGTTAACATGTTTTAACAACTACCGCCCCTAATGATCATTTAACACTTTAAATGAGATTAGTTGAAAAAAAAAATAATCTTTGAACTCTGTAGAGAGATTGTGCATAAATGATTAAAAGAATTGCTACAACTTTAAAAATTGCGATCACAGAATACTGTACTTAAAATTTATGTTGACTATTTATGCAACTCTAAAAATTAAAAATGTTAAAAACTATTCACCTTCTGCATTTCATACATGCCAAAAGTTTCATAATCAAGGCCAATGACATAGCATTTGTAACAGCTTTCCGAATTTATCATAATTTTTGCCATATAAATTGCCTTATATTTTAATATTATTGTTTATATCATTTTGAAAACATTGTTCCTGTTCTGTAGAGAGGTTTTCCATTAGCTCAAAAGGACTCTTTCTACCTGTAAGACATGCATATAGAATAAACAAACTGCAGCTCAACTTCCCAAAGAATCAAAAAATGAAATAGAATACAATCTGCCTCAAAACTTCTGGATTGAAGCCTTCAATATGGCTGCCTACATTCAAAATTCCTGCCTGACATGGGACTTAAGAGATGAGACAAAAGTATAGTACAGCAAACAAGGTGTCTTAATTAAACAAGGTGATGCTTGGCACAATGCCAACTGTTTCTCATTTCCAAACCTTTGGTCAAAGGCAGGGCTTAATTTCCAAAATCAGAAGTGGTGGAGCCCTTTGGAAAGCCATTAGGAAGAAAAGAAAAAATAAATAAATAAAATAACTAATAATTTAAATAATTATTAGTTATTTTATTTATTTAATGTAATTTAAATAATTACATTAAAATATGATAAAATATAAAGACACAAATAAAGATTTAATAAATTGTTAAATTCATGATAAATAATTAAATAAAAGAAGTAAAATATCAGACCTTGTCTTATTTGGGGCTTTGGCTGAACTTGTAATTTCAATCAAAAATTAAGGAATAGTTCAGCTGGCCTAAGGCTGAATTTAAGCCCTGAATATACGATAAAAGTTAAGAGATGAGAGAAAGAAAAACCTTTCCTTTTCCAGGACACCAATGGATACACAAGTAAGACGAAGAAAGCATCACTAATAAGAATATGAGAGAATGCTACAAACAATATGAGAGTAATGAAAGAAATTTTAATGGAGAAGTGTAGCTTAAGAAAACCAAGCAAGAAGAATCCAACATTTTCTGACCACGATGCCCTGCCAATATCATTCTAGCTGTCAAGCAGAATGTGACTGGGCAAAAAAATTTCCCTTGCATCCTATCCAATAACAACATGAGAATAAACAAAAGATCTGCACAAGTGACAATTTTTGTCCCTCATATTTGGTTACATTGTTCAAGTCTGTAGGAGATCTGTAGTGAAAGGTCAATGGCATTGGATGCACACGACCAAGGTAATCACTTTTAGTACTTTTAGAAGTAAAACATTTTATCCACGCTTACAAATTCATTGCACTACCTGAAGAATAAGCTTTTGACATGTGGATGGGGGACTTTTCTTTCCTTAAAAGTCTTAACCTCCACCAAAGTGACAGAGAAACAAAGGCATGCATTTAGAAGTTATAATCGATTCTTAAAGCATATTTATTTTTCAAATAAAATTTGTCACTGAAACTGTGTTTCATTTACGTAAAAGGAGTGCCAAAGTCCTTTTATTTAGGGCTCTGGAGGCTCCAGCTAGAATTATGATTTACCTCAGAAATTGAGAAGTACCAGAGCCGGGCTCCGATGAAATTTATACTCTGGCCAAAAGGTATTTGAGATGAAGAAAATGCAAAGAATGAGCCCATTTGGTATTCAATTTTTTTAAAAAATGTTTTATTTTAATTGGACAATCTGATGAATTTTGTGATTCTGACACATGCAGAGTAATAATGAGCAGAAACATAAAATTTGCTGATGAGTTCAAAATTGCTATGGTTATGATTCAGAACTTAAATTCTTTTCATAGTTTGCCTCAGAGGGGAAAAAATTATACATACAGTGTAATGAATCATCACCAGTTGAAAAGACGCAGTTACTTCCTGATACTGAACACGAAGGAAAAAAAAAAGAAAATGATTTATATAGTGAAACAGTTCCTTCAATTAAGATTTAAAAGGGGCATGGTCATCACAAATAAAAACATATTTTCTAAAAATGCCTAAGAAGGAATACCACTTAAAATTTAATAAAAATAAATAAATTCAAAATGTTGCTGAGGAAAGCATTTATCCTATGGCATAAATGATCTCTATGTTGAAAATTGGCATAATGCAATGCTCTTTTAGGTAAGTAAAAGCTTGAGAATTGGTAAAAAGACCTGAAACTAAGAAAGTTATTGGTAGTATCATAATCTTAAAAAGAAAAAATAAATAAATAAAAAGAGGTAGAAAGACTGAAACAAGTCTAAAGAAACTGTTTACCAAAAAAAAAAAAAAAAAAAAAAAAAAGGGAAAAAGCAATATCACTTTAAAATAATAAATAAAAATGAAGAAATTCAAAATGGTCTTGAAGAAAACATTCTACAGTGCAAGAAATATTAAATGGCCTCTGTACTGAAAATCAGCATAATAATATTCTTATTTTAAGGAATATAATTCTTACTTTAAAGAAAAGTTTGGGAACTGGTGCAAAGATCTGAAACTAATAAAGTTATTGATAGTTAAATGCTATTTAAATACAATCACGATGGCCCGTCAAAAAAATATCAAGCTAGGCTAAACACTAACGGGTGTGCTCTAATCTCTAATTTAATTTCAGTGAAAAATTTTCTTCTGTTACCAAGTTAAGTTCCAAATTGGTTAGACGGTGCCATACAAAACAAATAAAGGGTACCAGCTAGATTTTGTAATGGCCCACCTAAATGAAAATTTAGAGGAATAAATTTATGTGGACACTTCTGAAGGTTTTTGAGATAAAATAAATTCAGAAAAAATTGTCTTTTGACCCTTTGAAGTGTACTATATTCTTTATGTTTCTGATACAGAATAATACTAAATAATTAATGTTTTAGCCCTATAGATGAGTAGCATTTGTTTGTAAAATGTTATCTGACACTTCTTCTGAAGGGCGGCCATGGAACAATGGCTGCCTATAATAAAGGTACCATAGATCATCTCAAACAGTCTTGAAAGTAATGGTACA